TTTAGAGGTGGAGGATGGGACGACCCAAAGGGTCATCACCTCTTTCCTCATCCATTCCGTGCTTTCGAGGCCTTAAAAACCTCATTTTTTTACTTGCCTCGATTTGCGTGCGCAGTCCGGGCGCGTAGCCGAAAAGCTGTTATGTTGAAATATGTGAATTCCGTGAAAAATTTGAAGAATTTTGATATTAATATGATTATAGTTGATTTTGGTCAACATTTTTTGGTAAACGAACCCGGACCCGAGATTGGACGGTCCCGGAAAGTCCGTAGAAAAATATGGGAGGGCATGTGCCCGGAATCGAATTCCGAGGCCTAGAGCCCGAGATATGAATTTTTCTGTGAAATTGTTTTTCTGAAATTATTAAGGAAAATGGAAATGAAAATTGATTAAAAGACTATGGTATCGGGCTCGTATTTTGGTTCCAACACCCGGTACAAGTCTTAAATATGTGTTAAGTGCTTTCTGTAAAGTTTGGTCGAAATCGGACGTCGTTTGACGTGTTTCGAACTATAAGTTCCAAGTTTGAAAGTTTATGAAGTTTAGAAGAAAAATCATGTGTTTTGAGGCTTGATTCAATGATTTTGATGTTATTTTGGCGATTTGATCGCACGAGCAAGTCCGTAGGATATTTTTGAGGTTGTATGCATGTTTGGTTTGGAGCCCCGAGGGCTCGGGTGAGTTTTGGATAGGCATCGGATTGTATTTCTCATGTTTTAAAAATCTGGTATGCTGGCTTTTGCAATTTTCGCAAATGCGAAGGGAAGACTCGCAATTGCGAAGTCTGGGAAAATGGGGCACTGTCGCAAATGCGATCAACACTTCGCAAATGCGAAGTCTGGGGAAAAGGCTTGGGATCGCAAATGCTATCCATTGGCTCTCAAATGCGAGGTGGCCCTGGTCGCAAATGCGATCGAATGTTCGCAAAAGCGAAACCTGGCCACCAGACATGGGTTCGCAAATGCGAACTAAGAATGTCGCAATTCCCAGCCCTGTTTTGTTCGCAATTGCGAACCATGGTTCGCAATTCCCATATCCGAGGCCCAGCAAATTTTATACTTAGTCGAATTTTCATCACTTTTCACCATTCTTTCAAAACACCATAGGCAATTTTTCAAGAGCAAACTTCATCCCAAATCATTTGTAAGTTGATTTTACTCAATTCTTTCAACTTTTAACATCATTAAACATGTTTTACACTTGAAATCAAGGATTTTCATGGGTGAAATTGGGGTTTTTGGGTGGAACCTAGGTTTTCCATAAATTGGGGAGTTGGACCTCGATTTAAGGTCCGATTTCAAAACAAATTATATATTTGAACTCGTGGGGGAATGGGTAACCGGATTTTGGTTCGAACCTCGAGTTTTGACCACGTGGGCCCGGGGCGATTTTGGAAGTTTTTGGGAAAAACTTGGGAAACTCATTTTTATGCATCCAAATTGATTCATATAATGTTTATTAAAGTAATTGAGCAATTTGTGATTAGATTCGAGCGAATTGGAGGTAGAACCGCGAGGTAAAGCAATAGTTGAGGATTAAGTGGATTTCAAGGCTTTGAGGTAAGTGTTTGGTTTAACCCTAGCTTGAGGGAATAGGAGTTGAGTCTTGTTGCTAATTGCTATGTGATCGAGTACGATGTATAGGCATGGTGACGAGTATCTATACATTGGTGTCTAGCATGACCGTGAGTCCTTATAATGTGATTATCATGAACTTATTGTGAATTTCATGTTTATTGGAGTATTTCCATATATTGTGAATAACATGTGAATGGTGATATGATAATTTGATTCCTAGGAGCATTGGCTCGAACTGTGATACGAATATTGAAAGTATATGAAATGACTTGATTCATTGAGGAGCGTCGGCTCCAGTTGTAGAACGAATTGCGAAAGTATAAGTGATAATTGAACCTCTGGAGCATCTGCTCGAGTTGTGAAAAGAATTTTGAAGTAAAAGCGAGAAAGAGGAGAGATCATTATGTTGCCCTCTTGGCGGGCTATTGTTGGGTTGTGATTCCTCTGCATTGTGTTCTTAACGGATACTAGGGTCGCTTAGGTTAATGTTTCCTTGTGTCATATGATGACTATAGTTATAGATGGGTTGGTTGGGTGTGGTAGTCGGTTAGATATAGCTGAGGTGGTCAAGTGTGGTAATAGGTTGGTTATAGCTGTGGTAGTTAGATGTTGGAACTAATATGGTGGTTAGATGTTGGAACTAATGTGGTTATAGTAATCCCCTTGCCAGAATATTTGAGATGATGTTTTGTTCCCTTACTGGGAAGTCGTTATATTGTTGTTTGTGACGGAATATGAGATAAGAAATTTCTTGGAGCTTGGGCTCCAGTGATATCGTGAGATAAGAAAAGTAAGAAAGAGAAAACGTTGTTGATTATTCCCTTGCCGGGACGTTTGGTTGAACTTGTTGGATTCTTTCCCTCGCCGGGATGTTTGTCAAATGTTTACTTATTTTTATGCCCCTTAATTGTGACTGTTGTTTGGGTAGTCGGACTGTTAAATGATATTGAGGGTCGGGTTGCACGCCGCAACAATGATATTGAGGATCGGGTTGCACGCCGCAACAATAATATGTGAGGGTCGGGTTGCACGCCGCAACAATGATATTGAGGATCGGGTTGCACGCCGCAACAGTAAAAGGTGAGGATCGGGTTGCGCGCCGCAACAATGATACATGATAAATGATATGGGTCGGGTTGCACGCCGCAACAGTGGTATTTGTGGAGCGGGTTGCACGCCGCAACAATAGTAATTATGGAGCGGGTTGCACGCCGCAACAGTTATTGAGGCTATGTGTTTGTAATTGAGTATTGATTCTTTGTTCATTGTGAACCTAAGCTGTTTAGTTGTTACTCTGGATTGCTGTTAATATTGTATCTCCCCACAGCAGTTTTCCCCCTCCCATGTTACTAGTTGTTTGGTATTTTGTTTCCGTTGTATATTTATAACTGCACAGGTTTATGTGATGTCCAGTCTAGCCTCGTCACTACTTCGCCGGGGTCAGGCTAGACACTTACCAGCACATGGGGTCGGTTGTGCTGATGCTACACTTCTGTGCATTTTTGCACAGGTCCAGGTTCTAAGGAGCAGCAGCAGCATTAGTACGGGAGTAGGCTTTCATTATCACGAGACCGAGGTAGCCTTGCAGGCGTCCGCAGGCCCGGCGTCTCTTCTTTATGTTCTCTTTTAGACTGTTGCCTCCTTGTCTCGAGACAGACAGCTTCTATGTTTCTTTCAGACCTTTGTATTTAGTATATTCTTAGTGGTTCATGAGTGATGTGACACCAAATCTTGGGTAGAGGCTATTATTAACTGTTCCGCATTTTGATTCAGATTTATAAATCAGACTTCCGCTATTATTCTTAGTAAATTTCATGTTCTATATTGATGCTATAAATTGTTAAAATAATTGTTTAGTGATGAAAAGGTAAATAAGTTGGCTTGCCTAGCTACCACGAGTAGGCGCCATCACGATCCCGATGGTGGGAAATCCGGGTCGTGACAGGTGCTCATACTTCACCCACTGACAATTGAGGCACCAAGCTACAAACCCAACTATATCTTTTTTCATCCTCCTCCACCAATAGCTGCCTCAAATCCTGGTACATCTTCTGTCACGCCCCAAACTTGGGGAGGCGTGGCTGGCACCCGGTGCCGAGCTGGCCCGAGCGAACCACTCTGTAACTCATAATCATTCAATCAAAACTAGAACATACATAGGTCGAGTTGCTTGATTTCATTCCTTTAGTAACTATCATGGACCAACATGGCCACAACTCGTAATGCATAACTATAAGTTGGCAACACTGTATCAATAAACTATCGCTCTTAAAACATGAATACATATGGGCCGGCAAGGCCTCTGACATACTGTACAAAATGAACCTTTGTCTACAAAGCCTCTAAGATTATTTGACATCAAATGGGATAGGGTACCGGCCTACCCATAAGTCTGTAGCAAACTTTTGACACGATGACTCATAGACTCGGCTGCACTCCGAATGAGGTGGAGTCTTACCGATCCTTCGCTGAATGCCAATCTCGTCTGCTGTGAGGGATCGTCAAACTGATTATCTATACCTGCAGGCATGAATGCAGCGTCCCCAACAAAAGGACGTCAGTACGAATAATGTACTGAGTATGTAAGGCAGAACTGAAACATAACAGTAAGTCAAAATTAATTAAAGACATGGACGAAACATGGAGTAAAGGACTCAACCTGTAAGTCTGGAAAGCTCTGTAAATCATGAAATAATTATAGTATCATGCATATGCGTAGAATGTCATATCGTGCATAGGTACATGTGTTCATAACATCATCAATCCTCTGAGGGCATCCCATCATATCATTTCAGCCACTGTGAGCAAAATCATCATCGTATACCAGCTGATCAGGTGGTGGTGCGTATATAACGCCATAACCTTTTCCATATCCCATATACATATATATACGCGTATATAACGCCGTCTGAGTCATGGGTAAATGCACATGTATAAATGAATGCAATGCATAATGAAGTGAGTTAATATGATCTCTTGGAATGTTATGAGACCTATAAATACACAATATGGTAGTAAGACGTATGGGGAATCAGGAACATAGGAACCCTTTGTACTTCTAAGAACAAAATCATTCACTACAACAAATTTAGCCTAAGACCACACTAAATATAGCAACGCTTGAAAAGCGTTGCCAAAAGAATTTGTGGGCACAGTTTGCAGGTGTAGCCTTTGATAAAAGCTTTTGGCTACAGAGATTTTCGCAACACTTGTAAAGTGTAGTTTTTAATTCCAAAGCCCATGCCATTTAGTCGTTGCCAAATCACAACAGGTTTAGCTACACTTATTTACCCATACTGCAACGCTTTGCAAACTTTGCTATTTTTTAATCTTTAAAGCCACACTTTATGGGTGTGCTCTAAAATTTCTACAAAAATAAAATTTCCCATCCCCCCCCCCCCCTCCCAATAAGATTTATTTTGCTATAAGAGAAAATATTCCCCCCGTAACATCTTTTTGTTTCGTCACTTCCCACCATATCTGAAAGGTTGAAAGAGAAGGGTTCGAGAGGCCCTAAAGAAAATTGCTTCCAACATTGTTTATAAGATACAATTGGTTCGAGCATTTTGAAATGGCAAACCAGCGTTGACTTCAGAATGCTTTCCGCTGTAAGTTTCCTTTTCTCTGTATGTTTTCTTTCGGCTTCTAGGGTTTAGTTTGTTATCTTTGTTGTTAACATAATACGGTTTTTAATGGTGGATTTGGGGTGTTCATGTTTGCTTCTTGTTTTGTTTATTTTTTTATGTATGTATTCTGGATTTTTGTGACGGAAAGACAATGAAATTCGAATTCTTCTCATTAAAACCCCAAAGTTATGGAATTTACTAAAAATTGTGAAGACAAGAGAGAATGGAAGAGGGGTTTGGTATTTTTTCTATTAAAATATCTGCAACGTTATGGAACTTATTAAAATTTTTGAATATGTACATCAATTGCATTTATGTGGGTTTATATACATGCAATGGATGACGTGCGTGAAAGTTGGTGATTTTGACCTTTTATTGCATGATTGTGTGAGTTGAATCAATCTCTTATGCGTATGGTCATCAAGATTCGGTCACTTACATGCTGATTGCCAGGAGAGGAGTTGTGCCATTGAGTTGTTTGGCATTGGAATTCCATGTATATATTGTGGTTGCTTTGTTTGTACCACTTGAATCATCTCTGAATCTTTTCTCCCTTTTTCTTTATGTTCACCTGTCTCTTTTGTATCAGCATTGCTTGAAAATAGAGAGAGATGAGTGGGAGGTAAGGGCTTGAAATCTTGATTTGAGTCATTTTCCTCTAAATTTTTGGTTGATTGATCAAGAAAGAAACAGGAAAAAGTGTTGGTGTTGCACTTGAAAAAGGCTAATTGATTGGGAAGAGGATTGAAAACTTGATGTAAATAATAATCATCCATTACTAGAGCACTAGATTATTTAGCTGAGTGGTACTGTCAGTAGCAATATTTACGTTGAAGATTAAGATTTATATGTGATGATACAATGTCCTTATTACGGCTAACTTCTCAAGGTAGAGGTAAGACTTGCGTACACATTACCCTCCCTAGATCCCACTTGTGGGATTTTACTGGGTTTATTGTTATTGTTATTGTTGATATAAAACAAAGCTTGACAAGGAAATGTGTTCTGTGAAACATAGATCAAATATTTTCTAAAGGATGTTTTGGGGAGTGGAAAAGATTAGCTTCGAGCAAAAGGATACAACTGCATGGGATCTGCAATGAAGAGTGTAAAAGCTGGGCCATTTACCAGGTACTAGAAGCATGCTCTTGTGGAGCTTCGTAGTTTCATGAAAATTCTAGTATATAAAATTTCTAGTTTATTCTTTATCTGATGTTTGATATTTACCTGTAAAAGTGATGATTCTTATTCATAAGACACTCTAGTTTGCAATGAAGTTTGAACTTCTTTTTCACTTTTGACTATGGTATTATTTACCCAAAAGCAATAGATCATTAGATCTAATTTTGTTAATTGTTTGCCTAATGCTTAACTAGCATAATCATTGCCAAGTATTTTTACTGTTTACTTTTGAAATGATATATCGCTATTAATGAAGTTATATCAATTTACCAATTTAAATGCTTGCCATCACATTAATGTTCTGCTCACTATGATTTGCTTATTTCTACTTTGAGTTTATTTTCTGAGGTGTCAATCTTTGAATATTTCGGTTGAATGGCAACCATCTGAATCATTTTGGCTTCAATTGCACTTCTTCTCTTATTTTGACAATCACTTTAAACTGTTATGGATGCATACTTTAGAGTCCTTCTAGTTTACCTAGTTGTTGCCACTGTTCCTTCAATCCTTTTCCTAGGAATAAACCTTACAGCTTCACGCTAAATATTTGCAGCTTATTAGCAGCACAGGGCAGTTTGATCCAACTAGATGTCATTACTTAATTGATACTCTCAGCTTGGCTTTCCTAAATTTATTGTGTATGCACATCAACTATGATACTTTTTGGATCGCGTAACCATGTCTTTAATTTATTTAATGCTTTCATTTATTTGAACCCCTCCAACTTTATAGTACTCATATGATATTATCTATTTGGAACTGATATAGAGATACAATGTTTCCACATTATTAGCAGGCTATAACAAACAATGCATCTTTGTTTGTCTCAAATTGCAGTCTCGGAAGGCAAAGCTATTGAAGAGAACAAAGAAAATACAAATAGAGAACTTAAGGTGCAGAAACCTTCAAAAGAACTCACATGCTACATAGATTAATGGGGAGGTCAAGGTTACAAAATGAGTCACAAAATCAGAAGAGTATTTGAAGGGTGTTAAACCCGCCATGTATTAGAAAATAAATCTGTAGCTAAGGGGAGTAAATGGGGGTTTTTTAGTAGATGCTTGTTTCAATTGTTTAATGTGTTTAAAACATTTTCATGATACATACATTCAAATTTGTTAAGTTCATTTCTAGGACGCACGTTTGAGCAATTTTCTCATAGTTAATGTAGTACATGATATATCTATATACTTTGGAAGTTCATAGCAAGTGTACTCGTTTGAATTTTTTTTGTTATTTGTAGTGCTTGAGAACTTCATACTCTAGCATTGATCATAAAATATATAATAATTGTATATGTATGGTAATAAATGTGATATTAGATATATCTAAAATTTATAATTTTATAACAAAGACAACACTTTATAAGGGTGTTGTAGAAGGCTACGCAAGAAAAGTATGGCATATAAGGTATCAAAGGCACACTATAGAGCGTAGCTGCAGGACATGCAAAGTGTTGCTGGAAGAGTATGTACGAAGCGTGACCTTTGTATCTTATAGGGCTCCCTTTTGAAGTGTGGCTTCTAAAGCAAGACTTAAAAAGTGTGACGTTAGAGAAAGGTTACGCTAGTTTAGGCCACCCCTAAAAAGGGTTGTCTAAAGTCGAAAAGTGTGGCTTTTGATCAAATGCCACACTTTTATGCCACACTTTTTGATATTTTAGGCCACACTTTTTTGGGGTGGCCAAAGGCCTAAAATGTTGTAGTGATTTCTGAAACTTGCGTGCTTGCTCGTTTCGTTGTATCATATGGATCATGCCAAAAGGAAGAAGGGATAGCCTTAACGTACCTGATTAGCCAATCTCAGATTTTTTTCTTCTGATATCGTAATTATAACCCATATATGACCTAAAAAAAATTAGACTAGCACACAGAACAATGAATGAAAAGATTTCCTAGCCACCTAACCTATATCCTTCCTCTCTTTTTTTCAAAGATATCGTTCTTTCTTATGCATTTATTTTTTTATTTACCCCCCCTTTTTTTATGCATCCTGCAAATGGGGGTGAAGACCAAAATATAGAACAAGCTAACTAGACATTCAAGTACAGTTTTGCTCAAAGTTATAACACGTTGTTTCTCTTTCAAAAAATAAGTGTCCATCATTCCAACATGCACACAACACATTACCTTCCAATTTCTTATTTCCCTTCTTCATTGTTAACAAACGATACTCCTGCACAATACTTTTCTGGCCATCAAACATGAACCAACTTAAAATTCCAGGAATCTCGTATACAAAGAGCAGAAAACAATAATCTAGCTGATAGCTTACCTTCTAGAAACAAGGGTGTAAGAGATTAAGCCACAAAATCAAAACATTTGGTTAAAAAAGCTTAGTGCTGACCAAATAATTAATAGTTGATTCTCGTGCGCAAACTAACAGCTTCCTCTTGTTTCGACATCCTTGATCATTCTTTCAAAATCCAAGCCCACAAGGCTTAAACCAGAACTTAAGGTGCAGAAAGAGCACAAAGAATAAATAATTTGCAAAAAGGAATAAAGAAGGATAGAAGCTTAAAACTCAAAAGATTGAAAATTCCTGTTATCTTTCTCAATGAATGAAAGCTTTAAGATGAGTCAATAAAAATAGTATGACTCACGTTATAAGACTAATTCTAACATCTCTAATCTTGCCACGTGGGGGAGGGTTAGTCTTATCCAACTCTTTAATCACTTACTAAATAATTAAGAATTATCTCAAATTACTTAAAATACTACTTGCTTTTGATACACATTATATAACTTACTATCATGGCCATGTGGTACCATACAAAATAAATACATATATTATTATTTAAAACATCTATGTAAAAATACATATATTTTCTCAACTTACAATTTTCCTAATCTCATATACAGAGTATAAATTTTCGTACGTTTAATTCTTAAAATGATAAAATGATAATCCTTTTTTCTTGTGCGAAAATAATTTCTATCTTTACAATAAAGAAAATCTCATAAACTTTCTAATATTATGTGTATAATTTAAAACATATACGAAAGTAGTAATATTGATAACTATATAAAATCATATTCTTCAAACTATTTTTTGCTTCTTTACAAAAAAAAAAGTTCCACTCAAAATACCATATCAAATATATATAACGATGTCAATGTTGTTAAACATACGGGGTGTAACATCTTCGCGGCAACCGCGAACTGTGGGCCTCCTCCAAAATCAACTCCCGAAGCCCATCAACATTGGGTACACATATCCGACCCTGCATCCTCAATACCCCGTCATCACCAATGGTCACATCTCTGGCATCACCATGCAGAACTTTGTCCTTGAGGACAAGCAAATGAGGGTCATCATACTGATGCTCCCTAATACGATTAAACAAGGAAGACCGAGAAACCACACAAGCTAGGACCCGACTGGGCTCCAAAATATCCAACCTCACAAACTGGCTGGCTAAGGCCTGAACATCCATCGCCATGAGCCTCTTTACTGCTGGTAGATAAGCCAAACTCCCTAAACTCTCTGCTCGGCGACTCAAAGCATCGACCACCACATGGTCCTTTCCCGGATGGTACAATATAGTGATGTCATAATCCTTAAGCAGCTCTAACAACCTCCTTTGATGCAAATTAAGGTCCTTCTGCTTGAACAGATGCTGCGAACTCCGGTGATCAGTGTAGATCTCATAAGAAACACCGTACAAATAATGATGCCAGATCTTTAAGGCGTGAACAATAGCAGCTAACTCGATATCATGGATATGATAACTCTTCTCATGCACCTTCAGCTGTCTAGATGCGTAGGCAATCGCCCTACCGTCCTGCATCAATACCACTCCAAGGCCAATCCTCGAGGCATCACAATAGACAGTATAAGACCCCGAACCTGTAGGCAAGATCAATATTGGGGCTGTAGTCAAAGCTGTCTTGAACTTTTGAAAGCTCTCCTCACACTCCTCCGTCCACCTGAACGGAGCACCCTTCTAGGTCACCCGGGTTATAGGTGTTGCAATAGATGAGAACCCCTCAACAAATCGACGGTAATAACCTGTCAAGCCAAGAAAACTACGGATCTCTGTAGCTGAGGATGGTCTGGGCCAACTATGTACCGCTTCCGCTTTCTTCGGATCCACCTTGATCCCCTCACTCGATTCCACGTGACCCAAGAATGCCACGGAATCTAACCAGAACTCACATTTGGCGAACATTGCATATAATTTCTTTTCTCTCAAGGTCTGAAGCATTGTCCTCAGGTGCTGCTCATGATCCTCCCTACTCCGAAAGTATACCAGAATGTCATCAATAAAGACAATAACGAACAAGTCAAGATATGGCCGGAATACACTGTGCATCAAATGCATAAATGTTGCTAGGGCATTGGTCAGCCCAAATGATATAACAAGGAACTCGTAATGACCATACCGAGTCCTGAAGGTAGTCTTTGGGATATCTGGCTCCCGAATCTTCAACTGATGATAACCTGAACGCAAGTCAATCTTAGAAAACACTCGAGCACCCTGTAACTGATCAAACAGGTCATTAATACGGGGCAAAGGATACCGGTTCTTCATTTTAACTTTGTTCAACTGGCGATAATCAATGCACATACGCATAGAACCATCCTTCTTCTTCACAAACAAGACATGAGCAACCCAAGGTGACACACTGGGCCGAATAAAGCCCTTATCAAGAAATTTTTGTAACTGTTCCTTCAACTCCTTCAACTCAAGAGGAGCCATACGGTAAGGAGGAATAGAAATAGGCTGAGTTCCCAGCAAAAAATCAATGCCAAAATCAATATCTGTGTCGGGCGGCATGCTTGGAAGGTCAGCTGGAAACACATCAGAGAAATCCCACACTACCGGGACTGAATCAACTGTAGGGGTATCAATACTGACATCTCTCACATAAGCTAGATACGCGTCACACCCCTTCTCAACAATTCGCTAAGCTTTAAGAAATGAAATAACTCTACTGGAAGTGCGATCTAAGGCACCCCTTCACTCTACTCACAGTACACCTAGCATAGCCAGCGTTACGGTTTTGGCGTGACAATCAAGAATAGCATAATGGGGCGCCAACCAGTCCATGCCCAAGATAATATCAAAATCTACCATGCTGAGCAATAACAAATTGGCTCTGGTCTTAAAACCACTAAGAGCAATCAAACACGACCGATAAACGTGGTCCACAACAAGAGAATCTCCCACAGGAGTAGAAACATAAACAGGGGAACTCAAAGAATCTCGAGATACGCTCAAATACGGGGAAAAATAAGAGGACACATAAGAATAAGTGGGGCCTAGATCGAATAGAACCGATACATCTCTATGACAGGCCGGAACAATACCTGTGATGACGGAATCGGAGGTGACAACCTTAGTACGGGCAGGAAGGGCATAGTATCTGGCCTGGCCTCCCCCTCTAGCCTCTACCTCCTCGACCTCTACCTCTAGCTGGCTGAGCAGGTGGGCTAGCAACTGGTGCTGTGATCATAGCCTGGGAACTCTGTGGAGTACGCTGTGGCTGAGAAGTCTGTGGAGGTGCACCCCTCCTAAGTCTAGGGCAATCCCTCACCATATGGCGTGTGTCGCCACACTCAAAATAAGCTCTGGGAGGACGTGGCGGCTGTGACTGGCTCGGGCCAGGTCTGCTGGACTGACCACTGAAAGCACCCCGTGCAGGAGGCGCACTAGATACTAGAGGTGCATAATAAGGCTCCTGAGGTCTAGGAGGAGCTAGAATACCGCTGGCTGTTCGAAAAGCTGAATGAACGGGGCGACTCATATAACCCCTACCACGGGGAACTGCAGTTGGGGCACGGGAACCAGAATAATGGCCCGACTCTTGAGACCTCTTGGCCTCTCTCTCGTCTCTATCCCGAGCAAGCATGCCCTCTACTCTCCTAGCAATGCTCACCACTTGCTGATAAGCAATATCCATCTCCAACTCTCGGGACATGCTAGATCTGATGCTAGGAATAAACCCCTCAATAAAACAACGAACTCTTTCACGAACCGTAGGAACCAAGGCCGGTGCATGCCTAGCCAAATCACTGAAACTGACAACATACAAAACTGTCATAGAACCCTGGCGTAAATGCTTAAACTCCGCACGCCAGGCGTGTTTGAGGCTTTGGGGGACATACTCCCTCAAAAACATATCTGAAAACTGGGACCACGAAAGGGAAGCTACCTCAGTTGGGCTGTCCAACTCAAAAGTATGCCACCACTGATAGGCTGCTCCTCAAAGCTGGAAGGCAGTGAAAGAAACCCCACTCGACCCTGATATACCCA